GTCACAAATCAGATGGTGAAGCACAGTGGCACGGCTCAAGCATAGCATTCTTCCCATACCCCAAACACCTCAGGTATCAGGCTCACACCTGCACACACCACTGAATTCAGTGCGGAGGTTTCCCCACCTCACACTGTGGCTCTGGGCTCAGTGCATTCTGCAAGCTCTGCAGTGCACAAGCAGCTCACAGCACTGGGAAGGATCCCTTTGCCTTTAGCCTCCCACTTCTCATATAATTGTGCAGTAGCTTTCCCTGAACGTGCATATTATGCAAACTCTTCTCTAATTTTCTGCTAACTCCCTCGCTTACAGTAACTTTTTACAAGAGATTCCAGTTCACTAACTACTCTTAAATATCAAATATAGGGGAGTTTACATATTCAGATCGTACAAATATCTTCTTACCTGAACAGGATCTGGGAGGATCAAATCAGGGCTTTTAGGAAAATGTTTGTGAAGAAATGTTTTCCCCAAGGAGCGGTTACTGGTTTTGTTGAGGGATTCTGGGATTCAAGAGCAGCAGAACTTACTTGCCCCAGAGAGGAGCTTGCTTCCCAGCTAGGAGGTGTGCGAGATCCTCAGCTGCCAAGTGCTGGAGGGAATTCACGTAGATCATATCTGAACCAGACAATACTGATGTTTTCATAATTACAGCTCTTTAATCCACAAAGCTGATACATATATAAACTAGTGCACCTGCAAAGCTTTCAATCAGACGCCATACCCTTCTTGGTGGAGTGGAACAGGTAGGGACTTGCGTGTGCTTCTTTGAGCAACAAGCACGTTCTTAAAAGCGAGACCTACCCAAATGCACTGAAACCAATCCCAGCAAGGCCTAAGTTTAACAGCTCTCCAAAAGCTGACAAGGGAGATGCTCTTGGTCTAGTTTAGAGTAGAAAAAATTGCTGTTAGGCAACATCACATCCAAAACCTGACTTTGTCACCATTTCTAACAACTTAAAGTCACGCTATGCCACAAGACACAGGAGAGGATAAGACAGCCTGAGGTTCAGCAAACTTGAAAACCCAATTCTTGGACCATGTTCACTGCATGAGCTTGGGTAACGAGTAACAGGGCTCCTCAGCTCCATGCCTGCCCACTTGAGAGGTGCCACAGACCTGGGTGCTCTGGCTCTGAAACACAAACATACAGCAGGGAGTTGAGCAGAAGACAGTGACAGCAAATCACCGCCTTTGTGACAAAAAGCAGAAAGAGCCACAACACCAACTGCTTAACCAGCACTGAACCTGAACACCTACAAGGTTAAAAAGAAAAAAAAATCCCTCAAACCAACTTTAAGATTGAGTGGAAGCCTTCCCAGCTTGGGACACTTCCATCAGCCAGGTCTGTAGTTCCCCCTCACAACACGCAGAGAAGAATCCTATGCTGGTGGAGAGATGGAGAAATGGGAGTTTGATAGATTTTTCCTCCACCCGTGGTTTTGCATAATTCTTTAAAATCTCTGACAATTACTGCTAAGTTATGCACACATCACATTACCCCTTCTCCCCAAAACGCTCCTGTCTGCACGGCGCTTGGCACTCCCAAAGTACTATCAGAATGCCAAACATTAATTAGGAACTGCAGAATGCAAACGTGCTCCTACTTCCCATCCGAGGGATTACTGTCTGAATCACAAACAGCACACGGAACCATCAGAACCAGAATACACACCTTTGAAGTTACAGAGGAGACACCAAATGACAGAACTACTAAAAGAAAATATTTCCAGCCACTGCATGTTTTTAAACTGGGGAAGTGCAGTTCTAATGCAGTTCTAATGCATAATCCTGTTTTCAGCCTGGTCCTGGTTTTACACTCTGTTTCCCAGCTGACTTGACTGAAACACAGGCTGTTAATATCTTAGGTGCCCTGTTTGACCATAGCAGCCTTTGCAGGTCCCAGTCCAGCAAAGGCAGCACCAAGAATTTCCAGCATAAAACACATTTATAGGTTCATAACTTGGCTCTAAAAATTCTACTCCAAAAGACATTGGGAAGCAGAAAGTCTCAGATGAACGCATTATATTATGTATCTTGGGTGATACGTACTTGCTCACAAGAGTGTATGAGGGAAGGGATTCTCTTTCACAAGCCACTTAAAATGATGCTTTAAAATTCCTCGTTTATGTAATCAAAATAATGTTTTGTAAGTGTTTCAGCTAATTAAGAGCCTAATTTGCCCAATTTCATACTTTAGCTTAAACCACAGAAGGCATCAATATAATATAGAATTGGATTGTCATGTCTTATTGATCGAGTCCCAGACAAAAATCCCCTCTCCCCTCAGAAGTCAATTGCAGCTTGTCTTCACAGGGTCAGCATCTGTGATGGCATGTTACGGGCTGCCAGCAGCACAGCGCTGCCGTTTGAAGACAGGATGAAATGAAGCTCAAGGCTGAACAAAATAACTGCAGGTGTTCACCTTTTTGTAAGGGATAAACTCGCAGCAAACTGCTGGAGTAAAAAGAGCTTTCCTTAAAACCCCTTTCTTAAAGCAACACACGTTGCTGGCCGCCGGTATTGTGCTTCCTCCAGCCCACATCTGAGCACAACGCAGCTCTGCACTGCAGCACAGCAATGTTAAATAGAAAAAGCTGCCTTGAAAGGGCAGAGGGCAACAACATCAGTGTGGGCGACCCAAGCTCAGGTAGTGTTCAACTATTATCTCCTATTTAAGCAGGCTGAGAATACGCAAATCCAGCCAGCACTGTTTTTAGATAAAATTGTCAGTTCTATGGATATTTATAGTACATGTCCAGTCTTGCAGAACTCCATCTTCCTCCACCTCATCTGTAACACAAGCTGCTTTTAGCTCACATTAATACACTGTGTTACTGGGATACTTCTCGTATTCTGTATAAGCCAGGCAGCAGATCAATACTCAGCTATGCAGAGGAAAAAAAAAAAATCATTACGTTAGAATCCTGTTAAAAACTCAAACAGACACCAGAAGGGATAAGTCTGATGCATAGACACCATTCCATCTGCATGCATATGTAGATTACTGCTTTTAAATAAACCAAAGTGGTTTTCTTTCCAAGACACGCTTTTAAGACTCTTACAGGTAGGGCCTTTGGATGCATCTCCTAAATCAAATCATTCTGACCTCAAAAATTCTAAGCTTATCAGAGCTCCTCCTTTTGATCAAAAATTGCCACGCTTTGTACCAACTCCCTTACCCATACACTTCCTGCAGTGAAATCGCAGCACTGAAATTAGAATAGTAGAGCTATTTCCAAGACAGCATCTGCTCGTGACATGAGCTCAGGTTTATAACTTCTGCTGGATCAAGGAGGAGTAAGGATATATAAGTTAAAGGCTTTAGAACCAATAACAGTAAACACAAAATCAAAAGGAAAGCAGCTACACAGAGAAGTATAAGGAATGTGTAAGTTCTTTTATTATTTCAGACTGTCTAATGTGAAGATCTCTGAGCATTTTGTTTTGTTGTTGTTTTGTTTTTTTTTCCCTGAGCATTTTTCGGAGGCAAAAATGCCTATTTTCCACCTGCATCAGAGAGAGCACTGGTAACAAACATAGTAAGAACTGATGCAGGTCTGTTTGCCTTTGAATTAAAAATCAGAAGAGCACACAATCTTCTCTCTATTGTTCTTCTCAGCCTGCCACATAAGAAGGACTGACGCTATGCCCCATAGGTCAACAAACTTGAGTTCTGAGAGACATTAATTGCAGAACTGGGATCCCTCCGAGACGCTGTGCCTCCAGCTCAGCAAAGCTGAAATCAGGAAGGCATTGGCTGCAGTGTCCCAGCTGACCTTCAGCAGTGTGGGACTTCCAGGCAGAGGGAAGCTCCAAACCACTTCACCTTTGTGGTACATCTCTCAGCCAAAGCAATGGTTTGCAAACACAGCATGGGATTCAACGCCCAACCTTCTGTAAGCGCTCCGGCTCGTCTCAGCTTCCCAAGTCATCATAAGCTGAGGGCAGCAAGCAACTTGCACAAACAAGTTACCGATAGTACTTGGAGGAGAGAAGGCTGGAGAGAGCCGAAGCCATCCTGTTAGCACCTGCAATGAAACTCTTGTGCTTTAAGGCTTAATGCTGCTGTTGTTCCTAATCCTCTCCCGCCCCACACAGGTGACTTGTCTCTTTGTCTGTGCCGGGCTCACAGCACCATAGATCCTTTCACCGCCACTTTTCATCATTTCCACAACTCCAGTTGCCACGACAACAGGATGCAGCTTCTCTGTGCTGTTTTCATATTTCCCGTTGTTGTTGCCATAACGACACAACCATTCTGGCTTTCTACTACACCAGCAACTTTAAGCCGTGTGTTCCAAAGGACGCCAGCTTCTCTTGTGAAGATCCACATATGATGGAGAGATTGATACAAGCAATTTGTAAATTAAGCTCTTTTTTTTCCTGAAGGGGGATTTTTCACTCACAGAAGTGAAAAAGCTGACAGCAATTGCTCGCGGCAGACTGCTGAGACATCTAAAGGCTGGCCTTTAATAACAGCAGAGCAATATAGAGCTGGGCCGCTCCCGAGCAGGGAGTCCCCGCAGTGTCAGACTGTGTCAAACAGCACAATTGGTATGTGATGTGAGCCAGTGTCCGTGCTTGTTCCAGCCAGGCAGATCTGAATGGTGCTGGATGCAATCCTCTCGTGTTTTAACCCATTGGCCTCCCCATTATTACCAGCACCACCGCCATGCAGCTTTGTGTTTGAAGGCCCATTTTAATTCTGTAATTTGAGCTGTTGCTGCAGATTTCTTTTCCAACTGTGACCCTTTTTGCTTTCAGGTGGCTGCTTTTTGAACTCTTATTTACAGGAGGTGCGCATTCATGAGACCGGTGAGGAAATGTTATACAAACACAGCATGCACAAACACAAAACAGTGATGGCTATGAAGGGTATCAGCTAACATGGCACCGTAACTTCATTATACCCTCATTTATGTACTTCACTAATGAGACAAGCACAGGTGTCCAACACAGTCCCTCACATGAGATGAATAACAATAATACAGTCCAACCTGCTTTAGCCATGCTTGGTATCCAGAAGATATAAGTTGGAATCCATCTTTTGGCATGTGTATTCGGGGCTAGGAGAGAATAGACATAAAGAGAGACCTCCTTTTACACCAGGACCTAGCTAACCTACAACTAAATTCTGGAGCATTTTAAACAACGCAGATTTTCTAAAGCCACATATGACAGTTTGGTTCCCATGTTACCTCTTGTTTGCTGCCTCAGGTAACAGCTGCTTTAGCAACACTTTCCTAGCAAATTCACCACTACTTTATTTATCTATTTACTCATTTTTAAACCATTTCCACCATTTTACATTTCAGCTCAGTATATACAGGTATTTCTTTTGAATTCCCCCAGAAATGCACCTGGATAAGCACAACCTGTTGTGGATGTAGTATTAGCACCTACCAGACATCATTAATGCTTTGGCCGCTTCATAACACCACATCACAGAATTGTAGGGGTTGGAAGGGACCTCCAGAGATCATTGAGTCCAACCCCCCTGCCAAAGCAGGTTCCCTACAGCAGGTCACACAGGTAGGCATCCAGGCAGGTCTTGAACATCTCCAGAGAAGGAGACTCCACCACCTCCCTGGGCAGCCTGTGCCAGTGTTCCATGGTATGGAAACAGCAGTCAGGCTGTGAGAGTGTCCTTAGTGCCACTACCCTCAACACGGTCAGACACAACAGTGGACAATGTGGAGATGATGGGGCAGCTCTAAAAGGTGCAGCCTCAGCATGGACTATCAGGAAACTACACTCACATGCTGTCAGAAATTATGATTCAAACTGATGGACAAATGTAACTTCTTCCCCCGTTTATTGATTCTACGCTTTATCAGGTTGAGACCAAAGCAAGACACCCAATTGCTCTGGAAGTACAAAACAAAAAGCATAATTTACAACTTAAAAAAAAAAAAAAAACAAACACCAAATTAAGCTTTCCCTAGCATAATATTCCCTGACATAATGCTCAGACTCTCAATACTCACAAAACTAAGCAGATTCAGCTGTGCCTATCCCCCACCCCAACCAAAAAAAAAAGGGGGATGCTTAGAAATTAAAATCATATCTGAGCAACAGGACCAGGCAGGACATGTTCAGACAACAAATCCCCCATCTTTCTTACTCTTGGCAATTATTTCACAATTCCTTTTCTTAATTCATGGTAGTTCTCCTCCAAACCAACAGATGTGTGCCCCTGTTGCTCCTTCTAGAAAGCTGCAAACATCTCTCATTTTCAGGACAGATCTATTCAAGACGATTTAAACTCCACCCACCCTTGCGTCCATACAATATATTTAGTTTGCACAAACTGTGTCCACAAACACTGAAAATAAGAATTGTTAGAGAGAAAAAACATGTGACCTGAATGCTGAACATTCACAGCTATGGGCAGGAAGCTGTTCAGCCTGGGAATTTGAAATAAAAACACGAATTGGAACATACTAAAATTTTGCCTTCCAAGAAAAGTCCGGATATAGACCTCAAAAAGCACTTTGATTTGCTTCTCCCCAGTTCAAATTTAAATTCTCCTATATCTTTCAAAACAGTAGGAAGATTATGCCCTGGTGTCCTAGCCAGGAATCTGAGTTAAAGCTGAATTTCAGTAACCACCACTGAGCTGATAAATTAGAGTCAAGTACATCCTGGTTATGGTACTCACCCGCTGAGTGGGCTTCCAGTGCCTAACACATCAACAAAGCATGTTTTAGGGGACCTCTAGCACAGCTAGAAGCATCCTAATCCTTAGTTCAACACCGACTTCATGGGTGGTTAGTCTCTCTACTGCTGTAAAATGAGGACAACACTTATTCAACCCACCTCACAGGTTTGCTGGGAGGAGCTGCTGACATTTCTATGTGCTTTGAAAATGGAAGAAACTAATGTGTGACATATCTAGCAAGACCCCTACAGAAAGCCATGCTTCACATCTGGCTCAAGTGCTCCAGTTGCTCTGTGAAAGTTGCACAGCATGGTACCCCCTATCTGGAAGGACTTAAAGGAAAAAAAAAAAAAAAAAAACCTTCATGAACAAGCAGAAATAAAAAGCTTTTGGTTAAATCCCAGTGTCAGGAGTAAAGAGACCCAAACACCAGTCTGGGACCTGCCCAGGTTCACCCCATGTATCTGGGGAAAATCGCCTTTCTTCTTCCCCCACTTCAGCCACCTAGCCTGGAAATTAGAGGATAACAGCAAAGCTTTCTCTTAGGACTGGCAGGCTGCTTAACGTCTGTAAAGCCCATCAGCCTAGAGTAGTTTGAGTAATTGATTTAAGAATGATTTAAACCATTTAATTTGAAGATCCCAGCCCTGTGAACACGCAAGTAAATTAACAAATCTTTTGCCATTAACAGGATTACTCGCATGCAGAAGTGCCTGCAACAACAAAGATAGCACTGCATTTATACAACTGCTAACACTGGCTCCTTCCAACGTTAGTGCCTGAGCATTAGCAATAAGAGTAATCAGGCCTTTCAGCAGATGAGCACTAATTGTAAACTCTGTTTTTCAACACTGGCCAGTTAAATACACAAACAGGAGAAACTAAGGCCCACTGCCATGCCTGCAAACCCCCTCACTGCAGCACGTCTTCTCTACATTTGATAAGCTTATCCTCATCCAGAAAAGGAACTATACAGAAGAGAAGCAGTCAGTAGTGCAAGGTGTGTCACTGCTGTATGCTGCTGCCTGCTCCACTGAAGAGGGACACACGCCCAAGTGAGCCTCCATTCACACCCAGTGCAATTACTGATGGAAAAGTGTAACCTCATTAAAATCTCTCGAGTTGATTTATCAACACTTAATTCAAACACTCTCCTCATTGGCTAAACTTCATTTTACAACCAGCCTCCCAGATTTTGAACTTCTGTGGCCTTTCTACAGGCACGCTGTGAATGACCCAGGAATGTCCTCTTTGGCACAAACAAGTACACCTGGTTAAAGCTTTCCAAATTTCTGTACCCCGGTGACAGCAGACACATTCACACTGCAACTGTGAATGACACAACAGAAACCCACATGTTATCAGTCAATACAAAAAAAAGAAAAAATCACAAACCTGCCCCTCCTCTTCTCCCAGCCTCTACAAGATCTGGAATGCTGACAACTACCTTGCTGGAAAGTTGTGCTGTTTTATCAGTCAACTGTACAGTCTTCCGTGGTTACGATCCATTCAAGGCAGTTCTATCAACACCACAATTGCCCAACTAGACCTACTCATTTTTGGATTTTCATGAGCACACACTGTTTATGCTCATGATTACAGTACCATAAGAAGGTTTTTTTTCTTAGCGTCTGCTCCAGCATTTTCCACAACAAGATGCTGGGTTGCTGGGGTCAGTTTGCTCTTTTTCAGTACCCACTTCCTGAGGAAGGCGATCACAGGGCTAACTTGGAAAGCACTCTAACTGCTACTGCTCTGATCTTTTTTCCTTCAACACTTAACTGGCACTGTTCCTTTAGCCATCTACTCTTCTTTTTAATCCATTTGATTTCTGCAGTCCCCAGCAAGGCCTAGAACAACAGAATGATTTCTGAGAACAAGTCAGCAATTTAAAATTCAGTGGTGCCTCTTTCCTTCCCGACAAAGGCTGATTTCTGGAGGACATTTAATTACAGGCCTGAGTTCCTATTTTCTAGACCTAAACACAACCCCTGAAGGCTTACAATATTTGAGTCACAGCTGGAGCTTTGGTTACTATACAGTTTAAATATCAGCCTCTTTACTGTGCAATTTGTTTTGAAAATCAAATCAGATGCCGTGTCATAAACAAGTGCTAATTAAGTGCTGAGCGGAAATTGGGCTTTTTTGTGCAAGAAGGGTTCTTAAATATCTGCATCTTCACTTCCATGAGAAAGGATAAATATGTCAGTACGATAATTATAAAGTGAAACCTACTCTGTTACTGGCAAGGCAGTACTGATACCTCTCCATTTTATCTGCTTCCATGCAAGAAGATATAGAGGGAAAGACAGGACGTGTATGAAATATACATATGCACTACGGATTTTATTAATCTGATCATATAACCCATAATGCTTCCCTTTCCCTCAGAGAGGACACTGACTCTGGGTTTCCATCACGTACCATTCAAACAGGCAAGCTAAACCCATCTCTCTCTGCCACTGCAAAGCAACTGTAAGGCTACTTAAATTTTCATTTCTTTTAAATTATGACCCACACACACAGGAATTTATTTGAAGATAACATTGCATTCATTAGATATAACACCTTCCTTGATAAATACCAACTGAATAAGAGGAATAATGCATTCTGTGATTCTGTGTGATTGTAGTACTCTGATGGTTGCCTCTGAGTACCAATATTCAAAACTCCATTAACTAACGGGCTCTCGGCTACAAAGGCAGAATTAGATCTGTCAGTCACTGACATGGGAGGGCACGGCCACTTGCACCAAGGGTTGTCCAGCTGGAGTGATTTTCATAGAAAAGGAAAGTACCCCCTGCGGCACAGAACTTGTTAATGACTTTGTATGCATTACAGCAATAAATTCCTACTGCATAACATACCATCTCACAGCCCAGCTAAATATCCCATTCCATTGTCAGTGCTCTACATAAGGGGACAGAGTCTGGAGACTCTGAAATCCTGTATGTGATTCTGTTATCAGGTCTGATGCCGCTAAGATTTAAGCGTGCCGTGCGCAAGATTTCTGAGAATAAGCGGAGGCACCGAGTTGGTTGGCTGCCCGAGCTCACAGCTTGCTATGAAAACTGAAGGAGGCAACCCTCTCAAGCAGTAAGCTCTGCCCAGAAGCTACATGAATTCACTCCTCATGGAGCACATGCCTAACTCCAGTTCTTCAGTGAACTGGTTTGGAGCGCATTGACCAAAGTCTGGCCAAACGTGTATCTGCACTCCTTGACAGACACAAAGACACGAGCTGCAGCCACGGGGAAAACTACCTGAGCCACACAACACATCACACTACCTTCTCAAGGGCTCAAAGGAATCCTAAGCTACAGCATTGTGAATCAAGTGGAGATCTGTGACGACACCTCATTAATCTTCAGACAAATACCAGCCAGCTCTGCGAGCACGCTTACT